CACCTACAAGGCGCTGAGCGACCACCACGTGTACCTGGAGGGCACCCTTCTCAAGCCCAACATGGTGACCGCCGGCCACGCCTGCGCCACCAAGTACACGCCCGAGCAGGTCGGCATGGCCACCCTGACCGCCCTGCGCCGCACCGTGCCGCCCGCCGTTCCCGGTAGGACTCGCCGATGCCCGGGCGCTCCTCTCGCTCGCGCGCACTTGCAACACCCCCGCAAGCGTGCCCAAAGCGGGCACCGGGTGGGCGGCGTTGTTCGTGGACGGGATTTCCCCCACCGCGAAGGGTTGGGATGATTTACTTCGCCGGACCGCAGCTTGGCCGCTTTTGTGATGCCGATTGCTGGGACGACACCTGTCGCGTAATCCCGTGGGCAGCCAAATGAGCGTAGGAAAGTTCACGGACAAGCGGTTGGTGGAAAAGCTAGACCTTGCCGTGATAGGAACTAAAGTATTTTAGACACGTGCTAGTTGCGGTGGGGGGGGGAAGCCCCCAGAGAAATTGTCAAGTGTGTTAGGAATGTGGAAGGAAAAAGGAACGGGCGGACAGACTACGATGGGCAGAGAGCATTGTAAATTAAACTTGGGAGGACAGCATTCCAGTATTTCCTGTTCGACTTTAGTCCTCTGTCCAGTGGGCAAGGTGCTTGGCTCGAATTCTATCCAATCCTGTCCCGACTTTGAGCTTTCCTCTTCACCCCCACTGTATGTGAACCCCTTTCCTTCTAGTCGTCAGGCAGCATCTTGTCGTGGCCACTCCCCACCTGCCTACGACTACTTCGTCCAATCCGCGTCAATTTACTTTTCTAGATTATTCCAATTAGACTTTTGTCCTCCTAAACTTGCTCCAAAAGGACCTCATCACCCTTTCCCTCCATCCCAACTGATTTTCCTCCATTTGATGCCAAAACCATCATCCCCAGACTTGCTAGTCTCCTTATGGCTTCCTTTCTCAGAGTACAAGTTTATGCTGCACACAACACCACACTACATACTTGAGGTCTTCAAAACTCTCTTCCACAACTTGCCGCTCTCCACTGCTGTACGGCATCTTTTTCACCATGGTGATGCCCATTTCCTAGCACGTGCTGAGAGCTTCTCTGGGAACCGAGCCTGCGTAGTAATAAAAACATCCAGCACGTGAGTCTGTGGCGTACGCTGTGGGATTTGTTTTTTTGTTTCCAAGTATTCATTCCCTGTGTCTTCTGCTGCTACTCTGCCCCCTCCCCCCTTCACCCTGACACAGGCATCACCTTCCTGTCCGGAGGACAGAGTGAGGAGGATGCCTCCATCCACCTGAACGCCATCAACAAGCTGCACCTGATCAAGCCGTGGGCGCTGACCTTCTCCTACGGCCGCGCCCTGCAGGCCTCCGTGCTGAAGGCCTGGGGTGGCAAGAAGGAGAACCTGAAGGCCGCCCAGGACGAGCTGATGCGTCGTGCCAAGGTGCGAGGCGACGGTGGCGACGCGGAATCGTAAACGTGAAACGAAGAGATGTCATGGCCTCAGAGGTCAGGGCGCCAAAGCCCCTTGGTGCTGCTGACAGCCCAGGCTCGAATCTGCGTTTTGGATGCCGATGATTGAACCGGATTCTCAAGTTGTGTAGCCAGCGAGTTAAAGGTCTCGGCCTGGTCGTCAATGACCCAGCTTTTCAAATTAAAATATAGGCATGACTGTCACGTGACTGGACATCACTCTAGTAATGGCAGAGCAAGTGGGAAAGTGCCTCTACCCTCTACCATGTGGTCCTGGTCCCGGTTGAGATTGAAAGAAACTGGGGGGGTGGGGGTTGGAAACAAAGGCGCGGAACATTGAAACACAAAGATGTCCTTTAACAGCGTAACGTTTCTAACCTGCCGTGCTTCGTAACCCCCCCCCCCCTCCACCAGATCAACGGGCAGGCTTCCAAGGGCGAGTACAAGCCCATCGCCGGCTCCGGTGCCGCTGCCGGCGAGTCTCTGTTCGTCGCCAACCACGCCTACTAGAGCGGCCGCGTGGCCCACCCCGTCCGCCCCCTTTCCGCACACGACCGCGAGAACGGCGCCCACCTGTGGTTCCCGCATGACGCCGCCTGCTGTCGAGGTCACCACCACCACCACCGCCACCACCTGCGGCCGGCTTGGCAGCAAACTGTTTAGCGTCTCAATTGTACCGGAGCTCTTAAAAAAAAAAAGCACGCGACCATTGGCATTCGATAAGCCAGCCGTGTGTCCGATGGTTGAAATGGTACTGGCAAGGTATTGGCTTGTGCCGTTGTGTACTGGCTGAGGTTTCAGGAACAAAAACAGCGATGTTTTTTTGAGTGGTACTTGAAAATATTGCGTTTCGAGATTGCAATACATGTTCCAACGATCGAGAGTTCCGCCCGCAATTGAGCGCTGGCAGCACCCCCCCCCCCCCCCCCCCGTCTTCCTGTGCTGTCTGCTCTGGTGTTGCATCTCAACCCAGCCACCGTGTAGTCTCGTGTATCGTGGTCGTGTTGGTTGTGTGTTCGTGAGCTTGTACCAGCAGACATTACTGTAATCTACACAACTTGTAGCCATTCTTGAGCAAGCAGATAAAGTAACCACCAAAAGAGTAACACTCCTGGTTCCCCATATGCTGTTCGTAAGAAAGGACTATTTTAAATGAGGTGGACCTGTAATTTCTCAACGTATACTGTAGACTGCCTATCAGAAACAGTGGGCAAGAGAAATGTCGCAAAGGTGATGATTATTGTGACTTTAGACTGCACCAGTGGACTATTATTTGTATGCATAGATAGATTGCTCTTCAGCTATTCCATCACCCGATGCTAACGGGGGTCTAGTTATTTCACGTTTGTGCATTATCCTACTCCCCAAAGTCAGCGTGTGTGCGCGCGTGAGCGTCTTTAACCTGTTGTTGTGTTGGGTGTTGCTGCTTATTATATAGAGATTATTAACATCAAGGGTTCAACCCGTCTCCCCAGGCTTATGAATGTGGCAGGCGACTGCTGGTCATGTAATGTACAGTGTCTGTGCTGTGAAGAGGTGATGTGCACTGAGCATGAGCATACAATAAAAAGGAGACTTAGATATTGAGGGTGGTGTGTTTTATTGTCGTCGCGAGCAAAGGGCGAGGGAATGTTAACGGCGGGCGCTATTCCAGGCTTTCGCGACCAATATTACATCCAGCGGAACGTCACGGAACTCTTTTGTAAACGTTGTGGGCAACGCACCCCGGTGTGCTGAAGTCGTGGCTAACTGGGGCACGTTTTGATTATGTGACAAACCTTACTGGTCGGGTGGCGGCGGGTTCACGACACATTTATCCTTACGCGATCTAACCCAAAAACAACCTTTTATTATGAATTACGTGCACACATCCCCCGATTGTCAATCCACTGCTGTATGAGTCGTCTCCCCGTGCCATGATCTGCATGGCTTGGGGGGGAATGCCATTTGTTTCACAGGGTGCTCAATGTAAAAAATAAATTATTTTGAAATGGGGGGGGGAAGAAATGTAGGCATTGGGATCCCCCAAATGTTTTATTCGAACCTTTTTTAAATCTCGTCCTACAAAGGTTTGCGTCTGGGGTTTCTGAAGGGTTTATCTTTGGGAACCGAATATCATGCCAATTATTCCTCCCGGGAAAGCTGCACCAAGTTCCATTGCTTCAGGAGGGCCCTGCCTTGGGATGTTTGACCATTTCCATTCATGCGTGTGGGGGGGGGGGGGGGCGAAGAGGTTTCGGTACCTGGAGAAAATGCTGGGATGGACGCAGGGGATCAATATTCCGAAGGCCAGGTGCTGCGCAATACTACCACCTCACCGGCCAGGTGTGCGACGCATTACAGGTGTGCACCAACACTCTCGGCTCGTATATTCACCTCGCCTCCCTTCACCTTCACAAGCGTGGCAATCGAGAACCACATAATCTAAATTGGAGGTAGCTTGGAGCGTTTAATCACGTCACAGCATTGCAATGTTCCGAACGAAAAAAAACAACCGCTTGTCTCTTCCTACTGAAGCCAATTGTGGTACTGTGCACACACACTCACGTGTATCAAATATGTAGGGTTGTGTGTGTACAGTACACATGTTCGTCCCTTCTCTACCGTCACTGCTTGTTGAAGGCCTCCCAACGCTGTGTAGGTCACGAGGGCCTCCCAATGGAAAAAAAAAATGGAAATATCGTCTCGCCATTTTCCATTTTAAGCGCCCAACAATTAGGGGCTATAGGCAAGCGGCAAACGTCTCACGTGGGAATTGAGCTGGGGGGGGTGACCTCGAACTGGCGAATTTGGTTGTTTAGTTTCCCAATGCACAAGTGTAACCGTGTTATTTAACCGCGCTGTTAGGACTCGCGTGTAGGAGGTGCTGACCAAGCCTGTTCAACGTAACAGTACAAAGTGTCGGCACTTTGACCAAGGCTGCAATATGCTGTGTGTTTCTTTGCCAGATTAAAAAAAAAACATTTGGAGTGTCTGAATTTTTTGCCCAGAGGTTGATTAGTTTAACTCTGGGCCGGATCAGCCTAAGAGTTCTAAATCGCTTTTAGTCTAGTGCTAACCATTTTAAAAATAAATATTAAATCTGAGAATAGGTTTTTCCCCTTTTATCTGGCAACAAAACAGGTGTGAAGTTGTTAAAACACCAAACTGAAACCGTTTACAAGGAATCATGCCTTTTGGCGTTATCTGGTCTAACACCGTTTGAGACGAGGCTCAAAAGAAAGCTGTCTCTGGTGAAGACCAATCCGTTTCAAATACAATGCCATATATTATCAGAGTTTTTTGTTTGCATTTTGATCACAAGTATTGTGGTTAATGCAGACATGATTCCTTGTAAAAGGTTTCAATTTGGTATTTTAACAACTGAACACCTAAATTTTGATTGAAAGCTTTCGTGACTGCAGGGATTCATATTCTTGGTTCTTTCGGTAAAGTCACGTAGAAGCGAAACAATAAAATTCTCACGACGTTTCGACTGCAACACAAGCAATCATCATCAGGTGTGAAAACCACAGCAAGAAAATTAGAAAAAAGTGGCGTTTATTTTAACGTTAGCACCTGTTTTGTTGCCAGATAAAAGGGGAAAACCCTATTATCATATTTTGATACTGGCAAAGGAGGTCCCATGATATATAAAGTCTCTCGATCATTATTAAACCAAGTCGTTTGCCTCGCAGGGAGTGAGATTCTAAAGCTGAAAAGTGGGCAAAGTCTGCGAGTGGTTCTTTCCCCCTTCTGAAGTGTAACGTGTGTGCAATGATGCGTTCGTTCATGATTCCGAATATGCCAACCCGAGAAAGAGGGAAACATCTCCCTGGGAAAAGGAGGCAGAATGAAGAAGCCTTAAGCATGGGTTACTCATATTCTCAAGTAGGTAACGGAGGTAAGTGGACCACGAGTTTTTTTGTAAATGTGTCGTTAAACCCGCCACCACCGGACACAGCCAATTAGTAAGGTTCGTCACGTAAACAAAGCATGCCGATTAGTTACTGGTACAGCACACCGGTGTGTTGGAGTAAACCCACGTTTACAATTCGAAGGCGAAGTTTCGCCGGGGTAACTACAACCAGCCTCATAAGGCGACAGCCATAATTCTAACCCACACAAAAAAATACAAACCTCTTATGGATAATGTTGGTCGCCAAAGGCCACTGACCTCCGTGTTAAACGGAGGGCAGTGGCCTCGGGTGGTTTGGGGCTCCGTTCGTTGAGAAGCGACAACGAAGATGGCATTGAGCAGGCGATGGGAGACCGAGGGGGAGATTGGAGCGTCGTGGTGTTGCGAGACATGAGGATAACGACGGGTGTGAGTCGAGAAGAGGTGGAGGAGAGAGAGAGAGGGAGAAAGCACGTGGAGGGAGAACATCCGAGCAGCCGACCCCAAACTTTCATGGAACGCGCGTCAGAGTCGCTGCGCAAGTCTGTGGATCTCTTTGTGAGGACGATGGATGTGGCTGCTAGAGGAGGTGTCCCAGGAGCGGGACTGTTGGCTCAGGAGAGAGGACAAGCGGCCTTGATGTGGCCCAGAAGAAGGCTGTTGGAATGTGTAAAAAAAAGTCCAGTTCTTGTATTTGTGTTGTTGTTGTTGTTGGATGGACAGATATGGGAAGGAGGCGTTTTGTCTCATTGACATTGTTTACTTTTAATTTTGTTTACTTGTATTGAACACAACGAGGCCAACCTTTTCACCAACTCTGCGTTGCGTGGCAAGGCTGAGCTGGACGATCACTGGGACCCACTTTTGTTTGCACGTCATATCGGCGGTTTCTTTTTGTTTTCACTCAAAAACACACAACATAGAGCACACGGCAAATAGCGAGACGCGCAGGGCTCACACCGCTTCCCGGAATGTGTGGGATGGGAGTCTCTGCGGATTAATAATTGTACAACCACTGGTCGTCCGACTCGCACGGCGCACGGGAGTTGATCTGGACGGGAGGCTCCTCGCTGCTGCTACTGCTGTTGCCACTGCTGCTTCTTCTTCTGATCGGTTCCTTTGGGAGCAGTGACTTGACTGGTGAGTCCCTCTGTGGAACCACACAGGGGTAAGAGTGGTGTGTTGGTGGTGTGTGTGTTAGTGGGTGTGTTAGTGGTGTGTGTGTGTTAGTGGTGTGTGTGTTAGTGGTGTGTGTGTTAGTGGGTGTGTTAGTGGTGTGTGTTAGTGGTGTGTGTGTTATTGGTGTGTGTGTTAGTGGTGTGTGTGTGTTAGTGGTGTGTGTGTTAGTGGTGTGTGTGTTAGTGGGTGTGTTAGTGGTGTGTGTGTGTGTTAGTGGTGTGTGTGTTAGTGGTGTGTGTGTTAGTGGTGTGTGTGTTAGTGGTGTGTGTGTTAGTGGTGTGTGTGTTAGTGGTGTGTGTGTGTGTGTTAGTGGTGTGTGTGTTAGTGGTGTGTGTTAGTGGTGTGTGTGTGTTAGTGGTGTGTGTGTTAGTGGTGTGTGTGTTAGTCGTGTGTGTTAGTGGTGTGTGTGTTAGTGGTGTGTGTGTGTTAGTGGTGTGTGTGTTAGTGGTGTGTGTGTTAGTGGTGTGTGTGTGTTAGTGGTGTGTGTGTTAGTGGTGTGTGTTAGTGGTGTGTGTGTTAGTGGTGTGTGTGTTAGTGGTGTGTGTTAGTGGTGTGTGTGTGTTAGTAGTGTGTGTGGTGTGTGTTAGTGGTGTGTGTGTTAGTGGTGTGTGTTAGTGGTGTGTGTGTGTTAGTGGTGTGTGTGTTAGTGGTGTGTGTGTTAGTGGTGTGTGTGTTAGTGGTGTGTGTGTTAGTGGTGTGTGTGTTAGTGGTGTGTGTGTTAGTGGGTGTGTTAGTGGTGTGTGTGTGTTTTAGTGGTGTGTGTGTGTTAGTGGTGTGTATGTTAGTGATGTGTGTGTTAGTGGTGTGTGTGTGTTAGTGGTGTGTGTGTTAGTGGTGTGTGTGTTAGTGGTGTGTGTGTGTTAGTGGTGTGTGTGTATGTTAGTGGTGTGTGTGTAAGTTAGTGGTGTGTGTTAGTGGTGTGTGTGTGTTAGTGGTGTGTGTATGTTAGTGATGTGTGTGTTAGTGGTGTGTGTGTGTTAGTGGTGTGTGTGTTAGTGGTGTGTGTGTGTTAGTGGTGTGTGTGTTAGTGGTGTGTGTGTTAGTGGTGTGTGTGTATGTTAGTGGTGTGTGTGTAAGTTAGTGGTGTGTGTGTTAGTGGTGTGTGTGTGTTAGTGGTGTGTGTGTGTGTGTTAGTGGTGTGTGTGTGTGTTAGTGGTGTGTATGTTAGTGGTGTGTGTATGTTAGTATTGTGTGTTAGTGGTGTGTGTGTGTTAGTGGTGTTAGTGGTGTGTGTGTTAGCGGTGTGTGTGGTGTGTGTGTGAGTGGGTGAGTGAGAGTGGGTGAGTGTTAGAGTGTGTGAGTGTTACAGTGAGGGAAAAAAGTATTTGATCCCCTGCTGATTTTGTACGTTTGCCCACTGATAAAAAAATGATCAGTCTATAATTTTAATGGTAGGTTTATTTGAACAGTGAGAGACAGAATAACAACAAGAAAATCCAGAAAAACGCATGTCAAAAATGTTATAAATTGATTTCCATGAGGGAAATAAGTATTTGACCCCCTCTCAATCAGAAAGATTTCTGGCTCCCAGGTGTCTTTTATACAGGTAACGAGCTGAGATTAGGAGCACACTCTTAAAAGGAGTGCTCCTAATCTCAGCTTGTTACCTGTATAAAAGACACCTGTCCACAGAAGCAATCAATCAATCAGATTCCAAACTCTCCACCATGGCCAAGACCAAAGAGCTCTCCAAGGATGTTAGGGACAAGATTGTAGACATACACAAGGCTAGAATGGGCTACAAGACCATTGCCAAGCAGCTTGGTGAGAAGGTGACAACAGTTGCTGCGATTATTCGCAAATGGAAGAAACACAAAAGCACTGTCAATCTCCCTCGGCCTGGGGCTCCATGCAAGATCTCACCTCGTGGAGTTGCAATGATCATGAGAACGGTGAGGAATCAGCCCAGAACTACAAGGGAGGATCTTGTCAATGATCTCAAGGCAGCTGGGACCATAGTCACCAAGAAAACAATTGGTAACACACTCGCCGTGAAGGACTGCAGCGCCCGCAAGGTCCCCCTGCTCAAAAAAGCACATGTACATGCCCGTCTGAAGTTTGCCAATGAACATTTGAATGATTCAGAGGACAACTGGGTGAAAGTGTTGTGGTCAGATGAAACCAAAATGGAGCTCTTTGGCATCAACTCAACTCGCCGTGTTTGGAGGAGGAGGAATGCTGCCTATGACCCCAAGAACACCATCCCCACCGTCAAACATGGAGGTGGAAACATTATGCTTTGGGGGTGTTCTTCTGCTAAGGGGACAGGACAACTTCACCGCATCAAAGGGACGATGGATGGGGCCATGTACCGTCAAATCTTGGGTGAGAACCTCCTTCCCTCAGCCAGGGCATTGAAAATGGGTCGTGGATGGGTATTCCAGCATGACAATGACCCAAAACACACGGCCAAAGCAACAAAGGAGTGGCTCAAGAAGAAGCACATTAAGGTCCTGGAGTGGCCTAGCCAGTCACCAGACCTTAATCTCATAGAAAATCTGTGGAGGGAGCTGAAGGTTCGAGTTGCCAAACGTCAGCCTCGAAACCTTAATGACTTGGAGAAGATCTGCAAAAAGGAGTGGGACAAAATCCCTCCTGAGATGTGTGCAAACCTTGTGGCCAACTACAAGAAACGTCTGACCTCTGTGATTGCCAACAAGGGTTTTGCCACCAAGTACTAAGTCATGTTTTGCAGAGGGGTCAAATACTTATTTCCCTCATTAAAATGCAAATCAATTTATAACATTTTTGACATGCGTTTTTCTGGATTTTATTGTTGTTATTCTGTCTTTCACTGTTCAAATAAACCTACCATTAAAATTAAAGACTGATCATTTCTTTGTCAGTGGGCAAACGTACAAAATCAGCAGGGGATCAAATACTTTTTTTCCCTCACTGTAGAGAGTGGGTGTTAGAGAGTGTGTAAGTGTTGGTGTGAGTGGGTGAGTGTTAGAGAGTGTGTGAGTGTTGGTGTGAGTGGGTGAGTGTTAGAGAGTGGGTGTTAGAGAGTGTGTGAGTGTTGGTGTGAGTGGGTGAGTGTTAGAGAGTGTGTCAGTGTTGGTGTGAGTGGGTGAGTGTTGGTGTGAGTGGGTGAGTGTTAGTGTGATTGGGTGAGTGTTAGAGAGTGGGTGTTAGAGAGTGTGTGAGTGTTGGTGTGAGTGGGTGAGTGTTAGAGAGTGTGTGAGTGTTGGTGTCAGTGGGTATTAGAGAGTGTGTCAGTGTTGGTGTGAGTGTTAGAGAGTGTGTGAGTGTTGGTGTCAGTGGGTGAGTATTAGAGAGTGTGTGAGTGTTGGTGTGAGTGGGTGAATGTTAGAGAGTGGGTGTTAGAGAGTGTGTGAGTGTTGGTGTGAGTGGGTGAGTGTTAGAGAGTCTGTGAGTGTTAGTGTGTGAGTGTTGGTGTGAGTGGGTGAGTGTTAGAGAGTGTGTGAGTGTTGGTGTGAGTGTTAGAAAGTGTATGAGTGTTGGTGTGAGTGGGTGAGTGTTAGTGTGTGAGTGTTGGTTTGAGTGGGTGAGTGTTAGAGAGTGTGTGAGTGTTGGTGTGAGTGGGTGAGTGTTAGTGTGTGAGTGTTGGTGTGAGTGGGTGAGTATTAGAGAGTGTGTGAGTGTTAGAGAGTGGGTGTTAGAGAGTGTGTGAGTGTTGGTGTGATTGGGTGAGTGTTAGAGAGTGTGTGAGTGTTGGTGTGAGTGGGTGAGTGTTGGTGTGAGTGTTGGTGTGAGTGGGTGAGTGTTGGTGTGAGTGGGTGAGTGTTAGTGTGATTGGGTGAGTGTTAGAGAGTGTGTGAGTGTTGGTGTGATTGTGTGTTAGAGAGTGAGTGTTAGAGAGTGTGTGAGTGTTGGTGTGAGTGGGTGAGTGTTAGAGAGTGGGTGAGTGTTAGTGTGAGTGGGTCAGTGTTAGAGAGTGTGTGAGCGTTAGAGAGTGTGTGAGTGTTGGTGTCAGTGGGTGAGTATTAGAGAGTGGGTGTTAGAGAGTGTGTGAGTGTTGGTGTGAGTGGGTGAGTGTTAGAGAGTGTGTGAGTGTTGGTGTCAGTAGGTATTAGAGAGTGTGTGAGTGTTGGTGTCAGTGGGTATTAGTGAGTGTGTCAGTGTTGGTGTGAGTGTTAGAGAGTGTGTGAGTGTTGGTGTGAGTGGGTGAGTGTTAGAGAGTGTGTGAGTGTTTGTGTGAGTGGGTGAGCGTTAGTGTGTGAGTGTTGGTGTGAGTGGGTGAGTGTTAGAGAGTGTGTGAGTGTTGGTGTCAGTGGGTGAGTATTAGAGAGTGTGTGAGTGTTGGTGTCAGTGGGTATTAGAGAGTGTGTCAGTGTTGGTGTGAGTGTTAGAGAGTGTGTGAGTGTTGGTGTCAGTGGGTGAGTATTAGAGAGTGTGTGAGTGTTGGTGTGAGTGGGTGAGTGTTAGAGAGTGTGTGAGTGTTGGTGTGAGTGGGTGAGTGTTGGTGTGAGTGTTGGTGTGAGTGGGTGAGTGTTAGAGAGTGGGTGAGTGTTAGTGTGAGTGTTAGAGAGTGTATGAGTGTTGGTGTGAGTGTGTGAGTGTTGGTGTGAGTGGGTGAGTGTTAGAGAGTGTGTGAGTGTTGGTGTGAGTGGGTGAGTGTTAGAGAGTGTGTGAGTGTTGGTGTGAGTGGGTGAGTGTTAGTGTGTGAGTGTTGGTGTGAGTGGGTGAGTGTTAGAGAGTGTGCGAGTGTTGGTGTGAGTGGGTGAGTGTTAGAGAGTGTGTGAGTGTTGGTGTGAGTGAGTGAGTGTTAGTGTGTGAGTGTTGGTGTGAGTGGGTGAGTATTAGAGAGTGTGTGAGTATTAGAGAGTGGGTGTTAGAGAGTGTGTCAGTGTTAGTGTGATTGGGTGAGTGTTAGAGAGTGTGTCAGTGTTGATGTGAGTGGGTGAGTGTTAGAGAGTGTGTCAGTGTTGGTGTGAGTGGGTGAGTGTTAGTGTGATTGGGTGTTAGAGAGTGGGTGAGTGTTGGTGTGAGTGGGTGAGTGTTAGAGAGTGTGTCAGTGTTGGTGTGAGTGGGTGAGTGTTACTGTGATTGGGTGTTAGAGAGTGTGTGAGTGTTGGTGTGAGTTGGTGAGTAGGTGAGTGTGTGATTGTTGGTATGGCTGTGTGGGGGTGTTCGTGGCACAGTGGTGAGCGCGCTGCGTTACGGTGTCTAGAGAAACATCGCCACTGGGGAGACAAAGGCGGCCGGGAGTGGTGCTGGCCACTCACCCCCATCGTGTGCCGTTCCAGCCTTCATAGGCGCTACTCGCGAACGGCACCTGCCCCAACAGTGTGTTCAGGCTACACGGGGGATCTTTGTCTGTGTGTGAGGCTGTGTTTGTTTAGGTCAAGGACAAAATTTCACCATCCCGACTGAGTCAAAATGAAACGAATCAACTCGTGGCAACTCCGCTGGCAGCGGGATACAAGCACAACAACAAGAACAACATAACTCAATGCCATCGTCAATAATACAATTATATTGTTATAATAAAATCATATACTTAGAATTGTAGTTATATACTTTTTGGGTCTTTCCGTAAAGTCACGTAGATAGAAAAATTATAAAATATGAAATAATAAAATACAAAATAATATTGTATTATTTTTGTAAAATATTATTTTATTATTTTTCTTCTACCTACGTGGCTTTACCGAAAGACCCGAAGAGCATGAATTCCTGCAGTCACGAAAGCTTTAAGTCAAGATTGTAGCTATAAGTTTATCACTTTCAGGCAATAGCCCTTCTGCATAGCAGTGCAAATAACTGAGTGTTTCTTTTGAAGGCAGTGTGTATTGAGGAATGTGTTGAGCTATTATTTTTAAACACACACAGCCGTTTGCGTGCGTAGCAGGTAGCGGACTCTCAATTATACATTTACGTAAAAAAATTAATTAGTTAAAAAAAAAATTCGTCTCGTTTGAATCTCTTGCCGCGTGCAGAACTTCACGGGAGCCCTCCTCCCTTTGGGTCCGAGCCACTGAGTGAGGGCCCAGGAATGAGTCACTCCGCTCGCTCTCTCTCGCCGAGAAGATAACCAACACGGTCGCCGGCAATGCCATGTGCCGGCAACGTTTTGAAAACAACTTTGAGTGCGAATGTTGTCGATGCGCACGTTATTGGTTACTCGATCAACCTTACACATGGGTAACTGTTCACGTGCCAATTTAATACTGGTCATCTAGAAAACGTTTAAACATCTTAATTCTTCTCAGGGCCCGATGGTGCATAGTTGCAGTCTTCCAAATCTTTATTTCCTCTCATCTCTCAGACGTGCGATGAAGATGGCCCATTGCCCGAAACGTCACCTATTATAATTATTTTCCTTTTTTAAGGCCACAGTGTAAATTGACGATTCGTCATTCGTCATGGAATAATAGCAGCAGATTAATATTTTTTTGTTATTTGTTATCCACTCAATTGTTTGTACCGAAGCAGAGTGGCTCTGGTACCATTCATTCCTCCTTCATAAAGGCGTGAAGACAGCAGCAGCGGCGGCAGTGGAGTATTTGCGATGCGGTCAATGATTCTGAGTGGATTGTAAATGTTTAAGATTTGCTCTCCAACACACCGGTGTAGTGCTGTACGAGTAACGAATTGGCCACGTTCTGTTTACGTGACAAACCCTGTTACTAATTGGCTGTGTCGGGTGGTGGCGGGTTTAACGACACATTTGTATTTACACGATCTAACCCCAAAGAAAACCTATATTATGAATATTGTTCGCGAAAGCCTCCTACTACGTTTAACGCGTGGGCTTTCGCGACCAATATTATTCATAATAAAGGGTTTTGGGTTAGATCGCGTAAGTATAAATGTGTCGTAACCCTCCACCACCCGACACAGCCAATTACTAAGGGATGTGTCACATAAAACAAAACGCCAATTAGTGACGACTTCAGCCCACCGGTGTTAAACTGAGCGGAGCTCTCTCGCCACACGGCCGCCGCTACCACCTTGGTGTACAGCACAACGCTCACCCCCCCCCTCCACTTATCTTCCCCTCCTTCGCACTGCGGTGTGCACGGTCAAGAGGGAGGCATGGCCAGGCGACCAGAGATCCTCCTCCTCCTCCTCGTCCTCGCCGCGGCAGCCGCGTCACCCTCGCTCGGCCAAACCATCTCCTGTCCGCCCGGGTGCACGTGCAGCCGCTCCAAGCACCTGGTGAGCTGCCACGGCGAGGCCCTCACCTCGCTGCCGGCCACGCTGCCGGACAACACCGACATGCTGGTGGTCAGGGGCTCGCTGCTCACGGGGGCGCTGACCTTTCCCTGCTGGTCGCACCCCCTCGACTACCTGGAGATCGCCGGCAACCGGGCGGCCCTGCGGCTGGCCCGCGACTCGTTCGGTAACCTGCCCCAAGTCGCCGTGCTTCTCTTCTCCGGCAACCGGGTGGCGGGCGGCCTGCCGGCCGGACTGCTCGCGCCCCTCAAACGACTCCGCTGGGCGGACCTGTCCAACAACAGCCTGGCGGAGCTGCCCGGCTCACTGTTCGCGGGCGCCTCCGCGCTCGGCTACCTGGACCTCTCCAACAACGCCGTCGCCTCCCTGCCGCCGGGGATTTTTGAAGATCTCGGCAACCTCGACACGCTCCTCCTCTCCGGCAACAACCTCGCCGCGCTGCCCGGCACGGTATTCGGCTCGCTGCGCCGGCTGGAAACGCTGGACCTGTCGTACAATCGTCTCGGGTCCGTCAGCGGCGTGCACTTTGCCGCCTTGAGCGCCCTCAAGGACCTCCGTCTCAACGGCAACTTCATCCGGGCGATCGACGTTGCCGTGTTCCGGCCGCTGGCGAGCCTCGAGAGCCTGTCGCTGGCTTTCAACGCGATCCCATCGGTGCCAAGCCAGGCGTTCGACGGACTGAGGAACCTCACTCGGCTGGACCTGGCTCACAACAACCTGAGCGCCGTGGCCCAGGGCCTGCTCTGCGGCATGAAGGACCTCGAGTGGCTTTACCTGGCGCACAACTCCATCCAGGAAATCACGGCCGACATATTCGTGGAGAACACGAAGCTCAAAGGTCAACATCGATGCGCGCGTGCACGAAGGTCACGGCACGTTCTGCGGTGTTCGTACTGCCCCTTGAAAAGATAACATTAAAAAAGAAAGGAAACCCTTTTGGTGGGGGGGGGGGGTGGGGGTAGGGGAGGGTAGGGGAGGGGGCTCTCTGGAGCTCCGTCTAGTGGAGGCTTCTTCCACCAGCAGTGGTCTGAGCAATGCATTGCAGGGCTGAACCTCTACCCTTGACTACTACTGCAGCATTATTAGCGTTACAAGACAGCTTGGGGGTGGGGGGGCTGTGCACACAAAGACAAAGATCCCCCGTATGGCCTTAAAATAATGTTGGGGCAAGTGCTATTAGCGAGCACGGAACGCCACACGAGGGGGTGGGTGGCCAGCACCACGCCCGGCCGCCTTTGTCTTCCCCCAGTGGCGATGTTTACACACCGCACTAGGTACTCATTTGCGGCTGAGTCGACCTAGGGGAGGCCCAGGACCGGTTCAGATAATCGTCACCGGTGTTGGCCGTGAGCGGGAATCGAACTCGGGCCGCCGGGTTCCTAACGCAGCGTTGCGCTAACCACTACACCACCGCTCCCCCACACACGCGCACACAAAGATCCCCCGTGTAGCCTCAACGGACTGTAGGGGCAAGTGCTGTTAGCGAGCACCTATAAAGGCCGGAACGCCACACGAGGGGGTGGGTGGCCAGCACCACGTCCGACCGCCTTTGTCTCCCCAGTGGCGATGTTTACACACCGCACCAGGTACTCATTTGAGGCCGAATCGACCTAGGGGAGGCCCGGGACCGGTTCAGATAATCGTCACCGGTGTCGGTCGTGAGCGGGAATCGAACTCGGGTCACCAGGTTCGTAGCGCAGCGTAGCGCTAACCACTACACCCACCGCTCCCCCCCACACACACACAAGCCAAAGGACACACACACGCGCGCACGTATCACACGCAGGCCACCACCATTCACGCCGAGGCGACTCCCCCGTGTCTGGGCTCTTTCAGGCGTGCGCTTGGAGGGAAACGCCCTGCAGAGATTGCCCGAGCAGATGCTGCAGGGTCTCGCCTCCCTGGAGGAGCTCTACCTGAACGGCAACCGCCTCTCGGAGCTCCCCGACGGACTCCTGGCCGTGGACAAGTTGGGCGTTAAGGTGCCCGTCTTCCTCGACTTGTCCCACAACGAGCTGAGCGCTGTGCCCCAGGGGATCGCGCGATTACTCGCCCAGCGGATGTTCATCCTCATCCTGCACGACAACCCGCTGTGCAGCGCGCCGGCGCAGGGCCCGGGCGAGAGCCACGTGAGGAAGGCCTGCAAGCTCGGCACGCGAGGCGGCACGGCGAGACCGTGAAGGTTGTGGTTGGAGGTGGCCCGGTGGGTTCAGAGGGTCGGTGCGCCGAGATGGCACCACGGGAGACCCCTCTGGGTTCGGGTCTAGGCAGCTTGGCGTGTCATTAATAGCGGGGGGGTGGGGTTTCAAGAGTGGTGAGTTAAAAACGGTCACATCTTGGTCACCCTAATGAATACAAACTCTTTGGTTCTATTCGGTAAAGTCACGTATGTAAAAATAAAAAATAAAAACGAAAATCACGACGTTTCGGCCACAACACAAGCGGCCTTCATCAGGTGATGAAGGCAACATCACCTGATGAAGGCCGCTTGTGTTGTGGCCGAAACGTCGTGATTTGTGTTGTTTGATTTTTACCTATGTGACTTTACCGAATAGAACCAAAGAGTATGGATCCTTGCAGTCACGAAAGCTTTAAATCTAGAACTAATGAATACAACACGCACACGCTGTGATGTCACGGGACTGCCGTGTTAATACGTTGAACGAAAGTTTAAAAATAATAAAATGTATTTCCTTCTCGTAACACTGGTGCCGAGAGTGAGAGAGGACCCGCGGCTCGAAACGTTGGGTGAAAATGTGAAAGGTACAAACGGCGCGGCAGTATTTTGGCATTCGCTCCAGCAACGCGGCCGAGATGTTGGCGTTTCGCGAACCTCCCGGCGAGCCCGGGTCGGCCACGTGCGGTGCGCGAAAGACGTTCGGCACTTGCCTCGTGTGTCGTCTCACGGTACACGGGCCTCGTCGGACGACGCCTCTCGCACGTGGCACGTGGCACGTCGGCGTTAATGGTTGCGCGTTGCACCCTCTCGTGGCTGCCGTGAAGATGACAGCCCGGAGTGGGGGGGTGGGGGGGAGGTGAACTCGCACGACTCTACTCCCCCCACTGTGTGTGACGTGTAAGGGGCCGTCCATAAACGACGTCACGCACCTGGGAGGGGGGGGGGGGAGTCAGACATTTGTGACGATGTATGACGAGGGAGGGAGGGGGTTTGAGAAATGTGACGTCACGTCTAAATGCGCAACTTTAAATGAATATAGACACGTTCTACTTAATTAAATAAACTTTTTAATAAACATCAGAGTGCAGCGCCACATTAAATACGCACTACAATGACCATAATTTAAAGCGATTTGAAGCATGTTTTATTTTTTGGGGGGGGGTGGGGGGGGAGGCAGAGCTTTGTGACGTCATATTTGAGGGGGGGTCTGACTTTTTGTGACGCCGTGTGACGAAGGTGGAGGGGGGGGGGTCAAAAATCGTCCAAAAATCGCGTGACGTCATTTATGGACGGTCCCTAAGGCCATCGCCCGAAACGTCGAAATGTTTATGTTAAGGCCACAGTGCTTTGGACGAAATGTGTGGAGTTGCTTTAGTTCAACTCTTGTCGGTTCAGGCCGCCGGCTCTTCCCGATGGACCTATCAAAATAAACGCCTTGCACCAACACCGCACTGGCCAATGGGGTGCGGTGTGTCCCCCGGCTGAACGAAGTATTGGTCGCAGTTTGCTGAACTTTCATTGGCACCGTACGTGGCCGGCCGCGCTCATCGGAGGTGCAAAATGTTCCAGGGGGAATCTTAACAGCACGGTAGAGCACGCAGAGGGCCCTCTCGTCCCGCGCGAGGAAACACTTTGAAGACGGGAGAACGCAAGTGGTGGTGGTGAAGGCCCACCATGGCATCCCTTGAAGAGCTGTTTTCATCATCAGGCCCTCATCCGGCCGTAGTTCGACACACAAGCTGCGGTGGTCCTCACCCCCAGGGCGGGAGGAGGGGGGGGGTGCGAGACAGGGAGATGATTTTTTTTTTAGAAGGGGCCGTCCATAAATGACGTCACGCACCTGGGGGGGGTCAGACATTTGTGACGATGCGTGACGAGGGAAGGGGGGGGTTTGAGAAATGTGACGTCACATCAAAATGCGCAACTTTAATTAAATATAGACAACACGCTCTACTTAGACTTTTTAATAAATGATTTCTCCTACAACATCAGAGTGCAGCGCCACATTAAATACGCACTACAATGACAATAGTTTAAAGCGATTTGAAGCATGTGTACATTTTTTTGGGGGGGGGGGGGGCCGAGCTTTGTGACGTCATATTTGAGAGGGGGTCTGACTTTTTGGGACGCCGTGACGAGAGGGGGGGGCGGTCAAAAATCGCGTGACGTCATTCACGGACGGCCCCCAATTAATCGAAAACACAACTTGAGCACGGGCACGTAAGTTAAAACGGACTTTGTGTCATCAACCCCCCCCTGTGTAATTATTAACATGCTAAAAGTTTTTGCGATTGAGAATTAAAGGGGTGCAAAGGCTGCAGTAAAAATTAAGAACCGCTGGTCTCGAGTGTTGTTACGTACACAAGTGTCGTTACGTACACAAGTGCCGTTACGTACACAAGTGTCGTTACGTACACAAGTGCCGTTACGTACACAAGTGTCGTTACGTACACAAGTGTCGTTACGTACACAAGTGCTGTTACGTACACAAGTGCCGTTACGTACACAAGTGTTGTTACTTACACAAGTGTCGTTACGTACACAAGTGCTGTTACGTACACAAGTGCTGTTACGTACACAAAAATGCACGGCATCCTTCCCAAGAGGTTAAATCTCTCTCGTTGCACGAGCGAATCGGACCAATGTTTCCACGTCCTCGACAACGTTTTTGGGGGGCTGGTAGTATGCGTCGATTATGCTACAGTGAACAAGTTACAGGTCGGGACAAGCTACATGTGACGGACAATTACATCCCAATCACAAGCGGATGCTGGATGGAGAAAAGCTCCATGGGTGGGGCTTACGTGACAACCTGAACAGTACCTGTTGTGCAAGACAAACGATTACTATATGTATTATAAACTAAAATATTTTCTATTTTACCAGGTCAGGCCCACGCCGCTATTGAGCTCTTTTTCAGAAGCGACCTGGCCACAAATGATAGCTCAACGAAGTGGCTTGTCACGTGGAACTGTACAGCAGCCGAAGCCTCGAATACGCGTGTTTCTAAATGTGGAGAGACAACAAAAAAACCAGAAGACCCGCAGAAAATGCACGTGACCACAGGGGAAAGAGAGATAGAGGGACACCACAAACTCGAAATAAGCAGCAGGCATCGAGGTTGGGATCGAACCCACGACCTCCTGCATACCAGGCGAGGTAGTCAACATCTCCTAGCCACCGTGATGATGATGGGAGACACGCAAACTACAAATATACAACAGCAGGCGTCAGGGTCGGGATCGGACCCACAACCTCCTGCACACCAGGAGAGGGAGTTAACATCTCCCAGCCACCGTGACGAATCTGCCGCCTGGCTCGGTGCAAACGCACGCGTTTAATAAAAAAACACAGCACACATCACACGACAAAAAGGGTGCCCATTGTCCATTAGTCGACTGCTGAACAATGGTTTGCCTCATGCCACGCGGTAGGTTGCCGAGGTAATTTAACGATTTTTCAATACCACTGCACCCTACACAGCAGCGCATTGACGCACGCGCTGTAACGTGTTACAGGGGTACAGACAAACGCCGACATATTTTGCAATTCAGGAACGTTTATTGTGAAGTTTTCCAAACAAATAAAACTATTACTAATCCGCACCGTTTACAGGAACGCGACGCGAGACGGCCACCGGGCGGAACGAGCCCACGTCACGTGACGTGCGCACAAGCTCGGGGCAATGTCGCGGAATTAAATTCTCCACTTTGGCAACAAAAACAAAAGCCTTGCAAAGTACATTAGACTGCAACAAAATAAATAAACTCAATACCTAGGCCAGCTAAGTTATTCCCTTTTCCTAGCTAAATCAGAGGCGGAGTAAAAACGAAGAGAAATACATCTTGAAAAAAACCACACGGGACTACGAGTCTCTTTGGTGGGTTTTACCATCGATCGGCGGTGCCGTGGGCACAAAACGTTGAAGACAGAAAGTGAAAGTGGCCTCGGAGAAGCAAGAGAGGTGGGGGTATGGTTAGGGTGCTGGGCCTGTGCTGGACAGTCGCTGGGTGGATAATGAGGTTAGTATTAGGGTCTAGCTGGCTTGTTTGGGAGGTCAGGGGTAGGGTTAGTGTTTGGTTAGCTACTGCGGGTGTGGGTTAGGGTCTGGTTGGCAAATGCAATTAGGCGTAGGGGCCAATGGCTGCTTGATAAGTATTGTGGTTAAAGGTAATGTGAGTGGTTGACTAAGACGGTCAAGCTAACGGTTAGAATTTGTGTCTTATTGACGACAATATTCGTGTCTGTGCGTCCGTGTCGGCACGCGATCATGACAAGTTCTGCCCGTGCATTCGCGATCGGGGAAAACCCAGCGAGCCAGTGGTGGAAATGCCAGATAAACTATGGCACGGGTGAGAGCCTATCCCATTAGACAACCGTCCTTGACTTGCGCATAAAGTAGTACTCATTCATTCCACCCAGGCGACAAGTTAAGACCGAATGGACAACCCGACCAGGATTTGAACTCCGACTGCGAGCCGCCCGCTCCAACGCCGAACCACCAGGAGCGGGTCGCCACGGGGCTACAGACAGGAAACCGCTCGACGCGCGGCCCAACCTCGACGCGCCCCCTCGACGCTTGCCGTACCGAGCGGCCGCGTAGAGACCTTCTCTCCGCCGCTGAAACCGGCCGGAGCCCTCGCCGATAGAAACCGTCGGGTTAAGGAGAGGGGATGCGCAAAGTCAGCGAGACACGTGCGCCAGCGAGCGCTCGTCTGGCTCACCGGTCGAGCGGCACGAGTGACCGTGCGCCCTGCCGCCCCCCCCATCGCCGCGCTCGCTCGCGCCCCGGCAGCGCGGCGCCAGCGCGGCGCTCGGCGGCGAAGCGCCGCTCCGCGGGGACGCGACGCCGTCGCCCGAGTTCGCCGGGGAGGACGAGGGGAGGGAGGAAGAGGAGGACGAGGAGGAGGAGGAACGTCTTCCGGGGGCGTCCAACCCCGTCACCGTCTCCGCGTTGGAGCTGGACAACAAGCCGGGCCGGCGATCGCCGCGCCGAACACCGGAGACCCCGGGAGCCATGAACATGTAGACGCTGGGCAGCGGGAGGAGGGCCGCCGTCGGCCGACGCGGGAGCGTGTCGTACGCGTCGCACGGCCTCGGCCGCCGGGCGCTGCGGTGCGCCACGGCGGCGTCGCCCCACGCCGTTTCCGCCGCGCCCTCAGCATCGCTCATTGGCCCGCCAGAGAAACCGCCTGCCGCGCACCGCTGGCAAAACGCGGCCTGGTGGCGGCTCGTGTTCGCCTGCCGCATCAACATGTACTGGCCCTGGCGGGCGATGGGCGGCGATGCGGGGTGGCCGGCTTCGTCGGCCGTCGTGGCGGCGCTGCCCTCCCGTGGTTCCCCGCGGGGCGTCACGGTGGTGCGGTGGTGGCTCCAATATTGCCGAACGGCGGTCGCGCCGGCTCTCCAAAAACTTGGCGGCGCCGTCGGCGAGCGATGCCCACCCCGGAACGGTTCCGCAGCCGCCGCCATGCTCACGATATTCATCGATAAATAGGCGGAAGAGGCTTTGCCGGCCCGTCCCGCTTGCTGTGCCGACGCCTTGCCGCCGACGCGCCCTCGAGGCGGCGGCGGTGATTTGTCGCCGGGGCCTCGCTCGCTGTTGAGGAACCGGTTCCGGAAGGTGGCCGAGCTGGAGGGACGGCGTTCACTCGCGTCGTCATGAGCGGGGTAGCCGGGCTGAGGAACAGAGGGAGCCGCGGCCTCGCACGGGAAGGGAGCGCAGGGAGAGCGGCCGGCTCCGCTGCCGGCGCAGAGTGCGGCCACCAAGTCCACTTCCACGCACGGACAGTCCGCTTGTCCGTCTACGCACGGGGCACAACGACAAATTGTTTTTGGAATTAGCAGCGTTTGTTTGGTTACAACCAAAACATAATCACTTCACGTGCACCTTTTCGCAGATAATCTTATAGTTTATGATTTTTGGGTTAGGACTACGTAAAGATCCGGGCCAATTCGTGTCGTCAAAGACACTGCACCATGCGACACAACCAAACTATATTGTCAAGTGATGTATAAGCATTAAACGTTGTGCAAATTATTATCGCTTCAGGTCCACGGCGAGTCGAGGAACAATCTTCACAAACAAGTTTAGCAATTAGATATGGGCGTACTCTTTGGTTCTATTGGGTAAAGTCACGTAGGTAAAAAAATAAAATACCTGACTTTACCCAATAGAACCAAAGAGTATGGATCCTAGCAGTTACGAAAGCTTTAAATCTAGAATTGATATGGGCGATTCGTTTAAAACTACACCAAAAACATCATCAGGACAAGATACAGGAAGTCAACATAGACACGTCACCTGACCTTGCCTTCATATTAAACGCCCCTGATCTTGTGAGATCTACATAAACCACACTGACCCGGCGTGGTGAAGTTAAGAGCAGCGACATTTCTTTTTCAGAAAGCCGAAGAGGCAATCAGGGGCGGCATCACTGCACCAGTTTCCATAGCGTGCGTTCAATTGCCGCGAGTTTTCTGGCGTTGCTAAAATAATAAAAGTCCGAATGAATAATTGAAATCGGAAAAGTCCAGGGAGTGTTCTCGTAAAATTAAAACTGCCGAGTGGCACTGTGGTCAGAGTGTACAACTCCAAATCGGAAGTTTGTGATTTCAAATCCTAGTCGGGGGGGGGGGGGAGATCTACTTGGGTCTGTCATCATCCATTGCGGTTCATAAACTGAGTTTGACTTTGTGGAAAGTAGTCATAGTTATGAGGGACTGGCCTCTGATCATAATAATGTGTAAATGTAACCACTGTCTCAGGACAATACTAATAAACAGTCGTGTGAATATATTAAACAGCTTTTACGAATCTATTTTTGGTAGAGTAATCGGAAAATACACTGCAGGATGAGGGCCTCTCCACACCGTGTCGGCAACGAGGGTCGTTAAACCATACTTCACCGCACTGGTCAGCGGCGGGTCTAGGGCTAGCGCTACCGCCACCCGCGCGGTAGCTGGAGCTCGGGCGGGCAAGCGACGGTTACGCGCCAGGCAGCTCTCGTGGCGCACGCTGCGGCGGGGCGTGGCCGCGGAGCCCGGAGCTGCCGAGACGTCTCCGCGCCGTCGACGCGGACGAGCAGAGCTTGGGCCGCGGGGGCTGCGGCCGGCTCCACATCCGGCACAGCGACAGCTCCTCCACGGCCAGCAGGAGATTGTGGTGAATCGCCGCCGCCATGGTGTCGTCCTCCACCTGCATCTCGCAGCGCCAACGCAACGGGCAACACGACGACAACGACGGGGGCCACGGAGGCGTTGGTACCGGGTGTCATCCGCGTGCGTTGGGCAGCCGTCACCTGCAGGCCGGGGCTCACACTGCCCCGCGCTGGAGCGGCTGCCAAGGGGCCCGTCCATAAATGACGTCACGCTATTTTGGACGATTCCCCCCCCCCCCCCATCCTTCGTCACACGACGTCACAAAAAGTCAGGACCCCCCCTCAAATATGACGTCACAAAGCTCTGCTCCCCCCCCCCAAAAATATATTAAACATGCTTCAAATCGCTTAAACTATTGTCATTGTAGCGCGTATTTAATGTGGCGCTGCACTCTGATGTTGTAGGGGAAAACATTTATTAAAAAGTCTATTTAATTAAGTAGAACGTGTTGTCTATATTTATTTAAAGTTGCGCATTTTGATGTGACGTCACATTTCTCAACCCCTCCCCCCCCCGTTCGTCACACATCGTCACAAATGTCTGACCCCCCCCCCAGGTGCATGACGTCATTTATGGACGGCCCCCAACGCCTTCGCGCTGACGGCGGACTTTCTTGGCCCGCAGGATGGGTGCAGAACCCTCGTTTTGCAGAGGGCCAAAAAGGACTTTCAAGCGTAATTGGCGGCCACGCGTTAGTTGACACGCCAGGATAGCATGGGTGGAGCTACAGAACGGGGGGTGGAGTTACAGGACAGCAGGTGGAGCTACACAACGGGGGGTGGAGCTACACAACGGGGGGGTGGAGGCTACTCACCAGGGGGGTGGGGCTACATGACGTGAGGTGGCGCAACACAACGGAGGGTGGCGCTACACGATAGGGGGTGGCGCTACACAATAGGGGGTGGAGCTACACGACAAGGGGCGGCGCTACACAACGGGGGGCGGCGCTACAAGACGGGGGGCGGTGCTACACGACGGGGGGCGGCGCTACACGATAGGGGGGGTGGTGCTACAGGGCAGGGGTGGAGCTACACGACGGGGGGTGGAGCACCAGGACAGGGGTGGAGCTACACACAATAAGATGACGCCATCTGGTCGAGGCCAAAAGAAAGCCGTCCCTTGGTGTGGACCAATCAGTTTCAAGGACAATGCATCATATATTATCATAGTATGTTTTTTGTTTGCATTTTGACTGCAGGTATTGTGGTTAATGCAGACATGAATCCTTGTAAAAAGGTTTCAGTTTTGTTGCCAGAAAAAAGTGGAAAAACCCTATTATTATATTTTGGTACTGGCAAAGGAGGTCTAATGACACAGTGGAGACATGTTGGAGCGAACTCTTGACTTTTTTAATTCTCCCAGTCGGAACTGAAAGTTTGGTGACAATTCAGCCTGGTAATCATATACACCTGTTACAAACGAAAACAAAACTATTTCAAATGCATGCAAATATTAATCTGTTGCTATTAAATGTTGGAATCATAAAAAATAAAGTCGCCGACTCCTCTTAATGCCATCGATATGGGAGTGCTGTTCGCAGGCCAATATACCAATGTACATTCTTGAATATAACTACAGGCGTCCCAATAGTGCCAATTCGCAGTTACGCTATTCATCTTTAAGACGTATGCTCCACACTCACGCTATGCGTTTCACAGTTATGCGTTCAGGAAAACAAGAAAAAGCATTGTAAAGTAAAAATGAATTAAAGTAAACAATTATTTCCATTGATAAAAATTCACAGTAAAAACAAATATTGCCGAGGGCGTCACCGCATCACGGCAGTACCGAGTGTCACTGGCTGAGCGTAGCCGTCGGAGATCTGGGGAAAGAAGTCTATGCAAGCATCCAGGAAGCCCTGAAGTTACTCCTGATTAAATCAATCTTTGCAATAATATTTTCAATATCAATACATCTTATTAAACTCCCTTTTAAGTGTGTTTGGAATATATATTCTTGGTTGTTTCGGTAAACTCACGTTGAAGGGAAACAATAAAATAATAAAATATATGTTAATATTATTATTTAGTATTACATTTATAACATATTTTGTAAATCCGCGGCTAAAATCATGAAATGATTAATTTTTCTTCGGAATATAACGTGCCTGTCTTTGGGGAAAATAGGATTCGTACAGCGCGATTCGACTTACTTTGCTATTTTTCAGGAATGAATGTTGCGCATTACTCTGCACAGACACCCATGGAAGAAGGCAGACTAGTGAAGGAATCTGCCCTTGCTTTACACTACTAGGGCCGTAGTATTTCCAGGAGACTGCCTCTGGGTAACTCAAGAGCCACGATTAAAAGCGAAGGGGAGCAATTTTCCACCCCGACTCATCTTCTTATCCGCAAATACCGACGGATAAGAGGAACGCGGAAAAACGCGTCGCGTGGAGCGCCTCATCTTCGCTGCGGTTTCAGGAGTCGCGAGACAGTAGCAGCGGAATAATCATCACCACACTCGCATCACCACCGTCATCATCATCATCATCACGTGCCATTGTCTATCGAGTGCTGGGCGAAGATCTCTCAGCGACGTCGGCCATCCCTCACGGTCCTGCGCTGCCACAAATCCACCTCCTGCACACAAACCAATCTCATCGCTCCACCTCGTCGTGGTGTCGCCGTCCGTCATCAGCCTCGTGCACTCTTCGCAAGAGAATGCGCGAGCACAGACCGCTCGCACGGCAGGAGATCGTCGCTTATTTTCAGCGGGCTCTGCCCAACCAAGAACAGCAACGACGATGAGAGCGTGATCCCGTATGTATCACTTCTGTCGCGCCGTACCTAGCCAACCGTGCCCTAAATCTGTGGTGCGATGATGGTCACCATCATCGTTGGGATCCATACCGTACACAAGCTCATCATGGGTTGCCATGGAGCATTATGGGTAAATGCAAATATAAACAGAACTCCTGTTTCTGCGTCGGTTCAAGTAAATAAACACACGCTTGCTGGATTACCAGATGTTACGTGGATTACTCTCATTGATAACACATGGTCATTAAACAACACGATGACATAAAAAATGTTGAAACCAGTCCCAAGTTTGCGTGCGTTAAAATAATCCTGCTTAATAACACTGCATTTGTGTAGAAAGGCTGATGGATTTAATAATAATGTCCGCTTCTAAATGCTCTGTGTGGCTAGTTTTGTGATTAAACCAGGATCTGAGAACACACACAAGTTAGAGACATCAAAACGACTGATGAAAACTTAAATTATTTGGTGATGCTGCTTTGGAACTGCCACAAACAACCAAAAAAAAACTCAACGCATTTGGCAATAACACTGTGGCCTAAAAAGCAAATATACATATAACAGGCGATGTTATGGGCAATGTCCTTTCTTTGATGTGATATGCAGAAGGGCCACTGGCCAAAACGTCACCGAATATAAAAACAATACTGCATTTCCTTTTTATTATTGACGAATGTTTCGAGTTGTTGGTTAAGAAAAGTGGGGCGGGAGGACACGTCGCCAGGAGCGAAGATGGCCGGTGGGGAAAGAACGCGCCCCCAGAGTACGCCAACCGCAAGAGATAGAGAGCCAGGCTAATCAGTTCACGTGCAGGAGTGAAATTGAGTGTGGCATTGCAGGACTATGTAGGGGCGGATGGCGTAGTGAGGAGACCTTTATCCGGCGCTGGATAGACCACGGTTGATGATGATGATGATGATGTTGGTGGTGATAACACACAAATATAAATCGATTACATACCCTCATCCAGATCTGTCCTGGTCCCAGATCCGAGGAATTGCCCAAGGTGATGAAGAAGCAGTCATCGCTGTGACCGAAGTACTTGATACAAAACAGGCTGACGATCACCCTGGTGGCATCTGCAACACACAGCCGCACGCCTCGCTGCATTCTACAACTTACTTTTATATTTATTTACAAGTGACTTGGTTATTTTATTTCTCTATTTTGCACTCCTATCGTGTTTTTGCGTATTGCTTGTTGTTGTAACTTGCTGACCAACCTAAACTGGACATCTGTGGGAAAAAAAGAGCTTCATGGCTCATCGGATTCCTCAAGTCTAAATGTAGATTCAGATTCATTTCACAGATCCATGCTTCGTCTACAGCAGCCAGGGTCACGGTCCGAAGGGCGGTCAGGATTCGTGGGTCATCATTTAAGAATCGGTTTACCTAGGTTTTCGTTTTTTTAACTCCATAAAACTAAAAACTATTTTTTTATTTTAACAACTAAGGCCCACTGAGCTATGTAGCCCCTTTTCAGAAGCAACCCATCACAATTCATAGCTCAACGAAATGGTTCATGTGAAAACTTATAGCAGCCAAATACTCTAAATGTGCTAAATGTGGAGAGAAAACCCGGAGGACGTGGAGAAAAAATCCACGTGACCACAGGGAGAGAGAGACGCAAACTCCAAATATACAACGGGCGTCAAGGTCGGCACCGAACTCACGACCAACTCCTGTATACCACACGAGTTAACATCCTTTAAACCCGGGGTGGACTTCATTGGCCTAAATGTAACATTTAGGTTGCTAGAATTTCGACGGCCTGACTATAGTAGATACTATTGACTCCATAGTCGATATTACTGACTCTATAGTAGATACTGACTCTATAGTGTGGAGGGTGTTGTAGGTGTATATGACTCTATAGTAGACACTACTGACTATTGTGTGTAGGGTGTGTAGGTGTATATGACTATAGTAGACACTACTGACTATTGTATGTAGGGTGTGTAGGTGTATATGACTCTATAGTAGACACTACTGACTATTGTATGTAGGGTGTGTAGGTGTATATGACTATAGTAGACACTACTGACTATTGTATGTAGGGTGTGTAGGTGTATATGACTCTATAGTAGACACTACTGACTATTGTATGTAGGGTGTGTAGGTGTATATGACTCTATAGTAGACACTACTGACTATTGTGTGTAGGGTGTGTAGGTGTATATGACTCTATAGTAGACACTACTGACTATTGTGTGTAGGGTGTGTAGGTGTATATGACTCTATAGTAGATACTACTGTCTCTAAAGTAGATACTACTGACTCTATAGTAGATACTACTGACTATTGTATGTAGGGTGTGTAGGTGTATATGACTCTATAGTAGACACTACTGACTATTGTATGTAGGGTGTGTAGGTGTATATGACTCTATAGTAGACACTACTGACTATTGTATGTAGGGTGTGTAGGTGTATATGACTCTATAGTAGATACTACTGACTATTGTATGTAGGGTGTGTAGGTGTATATGACTCTATAGTAGACACTACTGACTATTGTATGTAGGGTGTGTAGGTGTATATGACGCTATAGTAGACACTATTGTATGTAGGGTGTGTAGGTTTATGACTCTATAGTAGACACTACTGACTACTGTATATAGGGTGTGTAGGTGTATATGACTCTATAGTAGACACTACTGACTATTGTATGTAGGGTGTGTAGGTGTATATGACTCTATAGTAGATACTACTGACTATTGTATGTAGGGTGTGTAGGTGTATATGACTCTATAGTAGACACTACTGACTATTGTATGTAGGGTGTGTAGGTGTATATGACGCTATAGTAGACACTATTGTATGTAGGGTGTGTAGGTTTATGACTCTATAGTAGACACTACTGACTACTGTATATAGGGTGTGTAGGTGTATATGACTCTATAGTAGACACTACTGACTATTGTATGTAGGGTGTGTAGGTGTATATGACTCTATAGTAGACACTACTGACTATTGTATGTAGGGTGTGTAGGTGTATATGACTCTATAGTAGATACTACTGACTATTGTATGTAGGGTGTGTAGGTGTATATGACTCTATAGTAGACACTACTGACTATTGTATGTAGGGTGTGTAGGTGTATATGACGCTATAGTAGACACTATTGTATGTAGGGTGTGTAGGTTTATGACTCTATAGTAGACACTACTGACTACTGTATATAGGGTGTGTAGGTGTATATGACTCTATAGTAGACACTACTGACTATTGTATATAGGGTGTGTAGGTGTATATGCCTCTATAGTAGACACTACTGACTATTGTATAAAGGGTGTGTAGGTGTATATGACTCTATAGTAGACAATACTGACTATTGTATGTAGGGTGTGTAGGTGTATATGACTCTATAGTAGACACTACTGACTATTGTGTAGGGTGTGTAAGTGTATATGACTCTATAGTAGACACTACTGACTATTGTATGTAGGGTGTGTAGGTGTATATGACTCTATAGTAGACACTACTGACTATTGTATGTAGGGTGTGTAGGTGTATATGACTCTATAGTAGATACTACTGACTATTGTATGTAGGGTGTGTAGGTGTATATGACTCTATAGTAGACACTACTGACTATTGTATGTAGGGTGTGTAGGTGTATATGACTCTATAGTAGACTACTGACTATTGTATGTAGGGTGTGTAGGTGTATATGACTCTATAGTAGACACTACTGACTATTGTATGTAGGGTGTGTAGGTGTATATGACTCTATAGTAGACACTACTGACTATTGTATGTAGGGTGTGTAGGTGTATATGACTCTATAGTAGACACTACTGACTATTGTATGTAGGGTGTGTAGGTGTATATGACTCTATAGTAGACACTACTGTCTATTGTATATAGAGTGTGTAGGTGTATATGACTCTATAGTAGATACTACTGACTATTGTGTGTAGGGTGTGTAGGTGTATATGACTCTATAGTAGACACTACTGACTATTGTATGTAGGGTGTGTAGGTGTATATGACTCTATAGTAGACTACTCACCATTGTATGTAGGGTGTGTAGGTGTATATGACTCTATAGTAGACACTACTGATAATTGTGTGTAGGGTGTGTAGGTGTATATGACTCTATAGTAGACACTACTGACTATTGTGTGTAGGGTGTGTAGGTGTATATGACTCTATAGTAGACACTACTGACTATTGTATGTAGGGTGTGTAGGTGTATATGACTCTATAGTAGACACTACTGACTATTGTATGTAGGGTGTGTAGGTGTATATGACTCTATAGTAAACACTACTGACTATTGTATGTAGGGTGTGTAGGTGTATATGACTCTATAGTAGACACTACTGACTATTGTGTGTAGGGTGTGTAGGTGTATATGACTCTATAGTAGACACTACTGACTATTGTGTGTAGGGTGTGTAGGTGTATATGACTCTATAGTAGACACTCCTGACTATTGTGTGTAGGCTGTGTAGGTGTATATGACTATAGTAGACACTAACTATTGTATGTAGGGTGTGTAGGTGTATATGACTCTATAGTAGACACTACTGACTATTGTATGTAGGGTGTGTAGGTGTATATGACTCTATAGTAGACACTACTGACTATTGTATATAGGGTGTGTAGGTGTATATGACTCTATAGTAGATACTACTGACTATTGTATGTAGGGTGTGTAGGTGTATATGACTATAGTAGCCACTACTGACTACTGTGCGTAGGGTGTGTAGGTGTATATTACTCTATAGTAGACAATACTGACTATTGTATGTAGGGTGTGTAGGTGTATATGACTATAGTAGACACTACTGACTATTATGTGTAGGGTGTGTAGGTGTATATGACTCTATAGTAGACACTACTGACTATTGTATGTAGGGTGTGTAGGTGTATATGACTCTATAGTAGACACTACTGACTACGGTGTGTAGGTGTATATGACTCTATAGTAGATACTACTGATTATTGTATATAGGGTGTGTCGGTGTATATGCCTACAAAATAAATAACTTTTTTGGGGGGGTGGAAGGGGGGGGCTCAACAATTGCTGTAAACCTGTTGGATCAACTTTTCTCCCCCACATCTGGAGGGGGGGGGGGAGTCCATGTTTCATAACTTTTTGATGCAGCCCATCTGAAAGCCTCTTATAATTCAAACAACGCCGGGCCGTTAAAATAGAAGATTCGCAGATAATGTTTACAAACATCGCACATACCCTTGTGCTATGTATGAAATGAGGCGGGGGGGGGGGGCTTTCTGCCCCCCGCCCCTCCATCTCCTGCCCACGTCGTCGTGGCCCGGCGCCTGGACCTCGCCGAACCCGAGTGCAGTTGCACCGCCTGCACACCTCGATGGCTCGGCGAGCTCGGACCGCTCGCGACCGAACGGTTTCCCCCGCGAGGGGCCAACGTGGGTCATTCTCGCTGGGTTAGACCATCCTCAAACACTCCCCCCCCCAACCCAGCCCACCGTTATCAGCCTTCACAGACTGTGTGGGGGGCAAGTGCTGTGCACCGATGAAGGCCGCCACTGCTGCGGCGACACGAAGCGGTGTGGCTGGGTGGCCAGCATCACGCCCCGGCCGCCTTTGTGTCTCCCCGGTGGCGAGTGTGCAACTGCAACACCCGCAATTCGCCACGGCGCCTGTGCCAGGCTAGGTGCACTTTAAGGCCACGTGAAGTGTCGGAACGCCCGCTGGCAGGAGGTGACGGGACAGACCCTGGAGGTGCCGTGGATCCACCGAGATGACTGGTAGATGGCACCAGCCCGTGGACGCTCTGCTGTGCCAACTCGCAATTTTATCCAACCACCGAGTAGCGTCCTTCACGAGCCTCCTCCAAAGAGGCCGATCTTGACACCGCTGGTACCAGTCATCGGCAAGTCCACTCAGCTCCACGTCCTCCTGTACCACGTTACTCCATCTCTTCTCTAGCCCGTTTCACTCACCCACCCACTCACCCATCACTCTATCTCTTCTCTAGCCCGTGTCACTCACCCACCCACTCACCCATCACTCCATCTCTTCTCTAGCCCATGTCACTCACCCACTCACCCAACCATCACTCCATCTCTTCTCTAGCCCGTGTCACTCACCCACCCACCCACCCATCACTCCATCTCTTCTCTTGCCCGTGTCACTCACCCACCCACTCACCCATCACTCCATCTCTTCTCTAGCCCGTGTCACCCACCCACTCACCCATCACTCCATCTCTTCTCTAGCCTGTGTCACCCACCCACCCACTCACCCATCACTCCATCTCTTCTCTTGCCTGTGTCACTCACCCACCCACTCACCCATCACTCCATCTCTCCTCTAGCCCGTGCCTCGCCCGTTAAGCCGACCTCTATACGGCCGAACAAACACTGTTTAAGGCATACGGTGGCTGGGCATGCGGGCTATATGACCCAGCGTACAAAGACAAAGATCCACCGTGTAGCCTGTCACAGACTGTTGGGGCAAATTCTATTAGCGAGTAGCACCAATGAAGGCCGGTTCGGCACACGATGGGGTGGATGGCCAGCACCACGCCCGGCCGCTTTTGTCTCCCCAGTGGCGATGTTTACACACCGCACCAGGTACTCATTTGAGGCCGAATCGACCTTGGGGAAGCCCAGGACAGGTTCAGTTCGATCGTCGCCGGTGTTGGCCGTGAGCGGGAACCGAATTCGGCGGCGCAGCGGTGTGCTAACCGCTGCACCACCGCTCCCCACACACCCCACATACCTGTACGCGGTCCCCTGGCTGGGCTCACGTAGTGCAGGTGCTCAGTGTAGAAGAAGACCCTGCAGGGCCCCGCGAGCAACGTGGTCAGCCCCAGATCTTGGGACAGCAGCTCGCCCTGCCACGCGTCCAGCAGCAGCAGCTGCTGCCGCTGGTGCGCCCCGGGGCCGCCGCCTGCTCCTCCTCCTCCCGGCGCGGCCGGCAGGGCCCCCCACGGGCCTCCCAGCTTCGCGCCGTCGACGGCCACCAGGGCCCGCAGCGCCGAGAGCCAGGCGCGTTGCTCGGCCTCGTCGGGCGCCCCCAGGGCGAGGTACGCGGAGTCGGTGAGCAGCGCGAGGCCGTGCGGGCAGCGCTCGTCCGACCGCTCGACCACGTGCATGAGGCCGCAGAGGGGCACGACGCGACGCGGTCGCTGGCGGAGGCCCGGCAGGTGCGCGAGGGGCCATCGGGCGAGGCGGGCCAGCGGACCCCGGGCGCCTCTCTCGTGGGCGTCCTTGGCGGGAGGGCCCTTGCCCAGCCAGCTCTCTCGGCTGTCGTGACACTCCAGGCGTGCCGAGTGGCACGCCCCGCGCAACACGAAGTAGCGGCGATGGCCGCTGCGTCGCTTCGTCAGGTAGCCGCTCTTCTCCACGTCCGAGTAGAGGGCCACGTGCCAGGAGCCTCGAGCCGGTGATGGTGTTGTTGGTGGTGGTGATGTTGATGGTGGTGATGTTGTTGGTGGTGATGTTGTTGGTGGTGGTGATGTTGTTGTTGGTGGTGATGGTGATGATGGTAACGACATTTTTTGAGAGGTACCACGTTGGGCCGCACGCACTGAGAGGCGGACAATTATTGAGGCTCCCGCCACCCACACAATTTTACTGGGGATTGCTTGCGAAGATGGCGAGAAACTTCCGTTCCTCAGCTCGGGAAGGAGGTGCGGTCTGGAAGGAGGACTCCCTCGTCTTGCCCTCCCCGTAACGACGACCAAGAGATCTCTCCTCCTTCCCGGCCGGCCGGCCGGCAGGCCTCCCTGCCTCTCTCTCTCTCAGGGCACCCTCAGGGCACCACGCGTGTTCAAATTCGTTTCATATTCCGCCATTTGCCTTCGACGCCCACCCCACGTGGGTTCGCGGGGCAGGCCCACCCCACGTGGTCTCGGAACCGGAATATTTATTTATTTCAGAATGCAAAGCGGAATCCGACTAGCTGGAAAGCTCTTTTTTTATTTAAATCGTCCGATAGGGGGCCACGGGGTAAGAACTTCAACAACGACAAGCAGTAACAAAAAACACAGAAGTTGTGCAACGTACGAGAAAGGTCAACAAATCACCCCAAAAGTAAAAAAAAACAAATATAACTAAACCATCCCCATCCTACCAGGCAATGCCCAATGAGGTATAAATTTATTTTTTCAGAAGCGACCTGTCCACCACAAACGATCGCTTCAACAAAGCATTGGGACATTAATAAAGTATTATAGCTTTCGTGACTGCATAAAATTGCTCATTGGTTTTTTCGGTAAAGTCACGTATGTAGAAATACAATAAAATTATATTAAAACAAAAAAACAATCACGACGTTTCGATCACAACGCAAGCGATCTTCATCAGGTGTCAAGAACAAATTACGGAGGTAAATACAACAAAAAGATGAGAGACGAGAATTTAACAAACCTGAAAGAATATTATGTGAAGCACATCCAGTCAGGCCAACAACACAGTTAGACACTTCCTGGCGGACCACGAATTTCAGAAGAGTTGAACACGAAATTTAACACTTCTGAAATTCGTGGTCCGCCAGGAAGTGTCTAACTGTGTTGTTGGCCTGACTGGATGTGCTTCACATAATGTTTTTTCAGGTTTGTTGAATTCTCGTCTCTCATCTTTTTGTTGTATTTACCTCCGTGATTTGTTCTTGACACTTGATGAAGGTCGCTTGCGTTGTGATCGAAACGTCGTGATTGTTTTTTTGTTTTAACATTGGGACATTTGTCACACGCAAAATAATCTAAACAATCTTAATGCATGCGGACCGGGGGCCCTCACTTCCCATCAATGTCGCTTGCGTTTGGGAATCAGTTGGATTGGCTGTAAAAAATATAAATTAAATAAAAAGTTTACCACATATTTCCACCCCCCCCCCCCCCCCAAAAAAAAGTGTTTCAAACAATTGTTTGGTCAACTCCTGAACTGGGATAAAACTAAAACACACACGATTAAAAACGTTAAATGTTATGAGACCTCCTTTGCCAGTAACAAGATATAGAAATAGGTTTTACCCTTTTAACTGGCACAAAAACTGGCACCATTATTCAAGGCATCATGTTTGCAATAACCACAACACAAGCAGTCAAAATGCAAACAAAAAAGACAACTCTGACGCCTTTTGGCGTCTTCTGGTCCAACACCAGTGGAGACTAGGCTCTAAGAAAAGCCGTCTCGGGTGTGGACCAATCAAATTCAAGGACAGTGCCAATATTATTATCAGAGTTGTCTCTTTTGTTTGCATTTTGACTGCTTGTGTTGTGGTTATTGCAAACATGATGCCTTGAATATAGGTGTCAGTTTTTGTGCCAGTTAAAAGGGTAAAACCTATTCCTATACGTTAAATGTTGTTTTCCAACGCAGATTTGGAGTGAACACGGATAATTGGTCATTAGGTTATTTCTGTTTTTTTAGAATGGTAATCTGTTTACTCGCGCGTGTGCTTGTGGCGGCCAGCGATTCACCTGACCCTTGATGAGTGAGGAGGAGGAGGAGGAGAAGAAGGAACGAGCAGCAGGTGATCATTATCTCAAGGAGCGTGTGAAAACAAAAAGACGTGAGAATGAGCACGGCCAAGCGGCCCGCGAAATAATGGACTTGTTAGTGCAGCGCCGTATTGCCCAAAAAGTTATGGAATTTGCAATTTATTAAAACGTTAATAAGCTCGCGTACAAAAATTAGTCATCGTGCCTCTTCCCAGTGAATTCGCATGGTTGTTATTGGCCCCGGTGCAAGCAATAAATACATTTTCGGCCCCTGTACATTTCCACCCTCTTTGTAGCCTGGGGCCCCTTCAGCCATGCTCCCCCCAGAAACATGCTTTTAGATTCTTAAACATTATTTGGCTGCTATACATTTCCACGTGATAAGCCACTTTGTCGAGCTATCGTTTGTGAAAGCCAGGTCGCTTCTGAAAAAGAGCTACGTAGCTCAGTGGGTCTTGCCTGGTAAAATAAAAATAGTTTAGTTTTATTTGTATATATATTTTTTGTTATTGAATTACCCTTCCTATACTTTGCACTCCTATCGCGTTTCTGCATTGTTTGCTGTAACGTTCAGACCCTATTCCCCTCCTGGAACATCTGTGAAAAAGAACTTTATAGCTCATCGGATTCCTTCAATATAAATACATATTCAGATTCTGGTAGCACCCGCCTGCCCACGCCGCTGCTTCTCAATCAGGAACCAAGCTGTGGTTCAGATAACAGTGATAAGCAGTTGTCCGAACATGAGTCACTCCCGCGATGGATGAGCCAGTGCCCAGATGTTGGTCGCCCTTGAGTGTTTGTCGAGCGTGAGTTTGCACGTGCACAGACCATCCCGTTTCTCAGTCCATGCGGGTCACGTTGGTTATTTGACCTTTTGTTTCACCACAACCACCTACCCGCCCGCCCGCCCTCCCACTCACCACACTGCAGGTCACAAACACTTCCCTCTTTAAATCGTCCCTCGCACTGGGCCACTTTGGAATTCACTCCTAACGTCGCTCTCCCCCAAGCTCCTACAATGAGGCGCCACGGTGGCGAGATGTTAACCACGTCGCATGGTATTCAGGAGGTTGTGGGTTCGATCCCGACCCTGGCGTCTGGTGTATGTTTGGAGTTTGCGTGTCTCTCTCCCCCTGGTCGCGTGGATTTCCTCCGGGTCCTCCGGATTTTCCCTCCTCGTTTAGAAACATGCGTTTAGAGTATTTGGATGCTATACATTTCCACGTGATAAGCCACTTCGTTGAAGCTATCATCTGTGGCCAGGTTGCTTCTGACAAAGAGCTACATAGCTCAGTGGGCCTTACCTGGCAGAATAAAAAATAGTTTAGTTTAATAACCTAGCTCATTTCAAGAAACTCGTAGCCTCTTATCTATTACAGCGTTATCACAAAATAATCGTGGCTGTGGAGAATATGAGTAACACAATTAATAAGCATATTACGCCTCCTTCACATATCTGTTCCCCCACAAACTCCATCGGCTACGCCACCCTGAGAGTGTACATTTCAGCAGCATTCGTTCAACACAGGACAACTCTGGATTGGTTTCGACATTTAATGTCTCATCAGGCTTGCGTTTAAGGCAGAGTCTAAAGAAACGGTACAAATCCACAATCGAGATTTTTGGGTTAGATCACGTAAATATAAATGTGCCGTTGAACCCGCCACTACCTGACATAGCCAATTAGTGCCACGTAAAAAAAAATGCCAATTCGTTACTTGTACAGCACATCGATGTGTTGGCGAATAAACCCACAACATTTACAATTCGAGTACGACGTTCTGCCAGTAATTACAACCAGCATCATCAGGCAACAGCCAGAGTTGCGGAGAAATCCTCCTGTTTCAGTCTTAAATAGAGGGATATGCCGGGGGGTGGGGGGTGGTGGTGGTTAATGCATGCATATAAATTACAATAGATATCCCATCGGTAAAAAAATATTGACTTTTTTTTTGCAATTTCCTCTGCTGCCCACAACGAAGCAACAGCCTCGTGTCCATCAGTGGGAATGTGGTCAGCACCCACAGTGTTCACCCATCCTGGCACGATGCAGGCTCAAGCCGGAAGCGGCAAGTTGGCTGAGACTTAAATGTGTTTTATTTTAACATGGATACCATGAACAAATTATTTGGTGACGAAGTGTTTGCGGCGGTGCTCAAGTACAATGAACAAAGAAAACGCAACACATTCATCAGTAACATTGTGGCCTTAAAATATGAATATATACGTAAAAGGCGAAATTTCGGTAAATGGCCATTCTTCACATGTTTACCTACATAGAAGAGCCATTGCCCGAAACGTTGCCTATTTCATACATTTTTGTTTTAAGGTAGTGTTATGCATAATTGTTTTTTTTATATGGATCAGTACATTACTCAGAATGCTCCTCTGCAGCTTTCGGTGAGGTTGTATACAATATTGCTGGGGGGCGGGGGGGGGGGGGTTGTGTGCTGATGCCTCATGGTGTAGAGAGGGCACTTTCAAATATTAACATTCAATGAACCCACATTTCACTGGTGTTAGTTTTCAAATTAAATTTTTTCTGGGGGGGGACCCCACAGACCCCCTGGAAGATTTGGTTCCCTCCAATGTTGACTCCATGGCTACGGCCTTGCATTGACATGCCAATTTCTCTACACCCCCCTCTCTCTCTGCCCCCTCTCTCTCTCTGTGCCTATGTGTGTATCTCTCTCTGTGTGTCTCTGTGTTATTTTTCTTTGTATATGTGTCTCCGTGTCTGTGTTTTGTCTCTCTCTCAAATTGAGCAATCTTTGGAAGAACGTTATCAACCAGGTGGGGTGTTGACTTATGTTAGCCGACTCTCTTTGTTGTACTCTTTGGTTTTGTTCGGTAAAGTCACGTAGGTAAAAAATAATGAGTTGTACCTGCGGTGATTGCTATATCGGGGAAACAAAGCGACATGTCTCTGACCGAATTCGCGAGCACAAATCAGATTTGAAACACGGCAGAACGAATTCTTCTGCCGTAGCTGATCACTGTTACAACGCTGTGGGTGATCACGATATAATTTTCTCCGATACCAAGGTTCTTTGCAAACCCACGGGTTTTTATCAGAGATTTGTTCACGAGGCAATTCAGATCTACAAACACAGACACAATTTCAACCGAGAAGATGGTTTCAAATTAAGCAACCATTGGAAAGATGTTCTAAATCGAACCAAACATTAAACTAATTTTCAATGGTACAGTATATTTTTCAAGTAGTGGTACCCCAAACTTTCGCAGCTCTTAAAAATTCCCTTTTCACACCATCAATAGGTAAACTCCCCCTCCCCCCCCCCCGCGCCAACCGGCATGTTCACCCGCATGTACACCACCTCTACACCGTTCATCATGCTAAGTCGGCCAATCAAATGCTAATTTTTATGCTAATTCCTTTGTCAAGGCACCTTGTTTCCTCGCACACAGCTTAAAGGTCGCGGTCTGAGCGTGGCTGTGTTTCACTCCAGCGCTGTCCTCGAGACAGCCTGGTCCCTTCACCTGATGAAGGCCGCTTGTGTTGTGGCCGAAACGTCGTGATTTTTGTTGTTTTATTTTTTACCTACGTGACTATACCGAATAGAACCAAAGAGTATGGATCCTTGCAGTCACGAAAGCTTTAAAT